AATGGCTATCCAGTCTCTTCTTAAAAACTTCCAGCATTGGAGCATCCACGGCTTCTGGAGGCAGGTAGTTCCACTGGTCAATTGCTCTGACTGTCAGGAAGTTTCTCCTTAGTTCTAGGTTGCTTCTCTCCTCGATTAGTAACAGAATAACACAATTATTCTGTTGGAAGGGACCTTGGAGGTCATCTAGTCCAACCCCCTGCTCAGGCAGGAAACCCTACACCATTTCGGACAAATGGCTGTCCAGTCTCTTCTTTTCACGTCCTTCAAGCAGAATTGCTCTTCTTGGGCTGGTTTTTTTTTTTCTTTTCTTTTTTTTTAAATGTTATGGCAGGGCTGTGGGCCATTTCAGTAGGGACTTCCCTTCCTTTGTTTAACCTCTGACCCGTGAAAGCCGGAGTTAATCAAAAGCTCTGGAGGAACCGAGAGGAAGAGGAAGTGCTTGGTTACAAATGAAATATGAGAAAAGCATGGCCCGGCAATCCCCAAGCGGGCTAGTGCTTGCTCGGTCCATCGGCTCCAGGCAGAGGAGGGTGTGAGGCTGATGCCTCCAGCCCCTCCCTGCGTTTTGAAAAGGAGACTCACAGTTCTCCCCTCCCTGTTCTGCTTGCTTCTGCTCCGCTGGCAGAACTCAAACAGAAGAACTTAAAAGAGGAAGGGAAGGGAAGGAAGGAAAGGAAGGACAGAAGGAAGAAGAAGGAAGGAAGGAAGGAAGGAAGGAAGGAAGGAAGGAAGGAAGGAAGGAAGGAAGGAAGGAAGGAAGGAAGGAAGGAAGGAGGCTTTGAAACCCGGGCAAGGAGAGCGAATTCCATCTAGGAATGAAAATGTTATCTAAAGTCACTGTGTGGTGAGTTGGGCAGCTGTGTACATTTGAGGGAGGGAAAGGAAGGAAGGAAGGAAGGAAGGAAGGGAAGGAAAAAGAAGGAAGAAAAAAGACAGGAAGAAAGAAAGAGAAAAGAGGAAGAAAGGAAGGAAGAAAGAAAGAAAAAGAAAGAAAGAAAGAAAGAAAAGGGGAAGGAAGGAAAGGAAGAAAAAGAAGGAAGGAAGGAAAAAGAAAGGAAGAAAGAAAGAGAAAAGAGGAAAAAAGGAAAAAAGAAAGAAAGAAAAGGAGAAGGAAGGAAAGGAAGGAAAAAGAAGGAAGGAAAAAGAAATGAAGAAAAAGAGGGGAAGGAAGGAAGGAAAGGAGAAGGAAGAAGGAAAAGAAAGAAAGAGGAAGGAAGGAAGAAAGAAAAAGAAAAAAGGAAAGAGAAAGGGAAGAAAGGAAGGAGGGAGAGAAGGAAGGAAAAGGAAGAAAGAAAAAGAAAGAAAGAAAGAAAGAAAGAAAGAAAGAAAGAAAGAAAGAAAGAAAGAAAGAAAGAAAGGGATGGAGGGAGGGAGGAAGGCAAAGAGGAAGGAAGGAAGGAAGGAAGGAAGGAAGGAAGGAAGGAAGGAAGGAAGGAAGGAAGGAAGGAAGGAAGGAAGGAAGGAAGGAAGGAAGGAAAAGTCCTACATGTCAGTTGATTGCACCTTGACTAGCTCAAAGCTATGAACCTTCAGCCTCAGAGCAGACCAGGAAGCACACCTTTGGACACAACTCACAAGTCCCCAGTTGAGTTGAAAAGGACCACGGAAGCCCCCCATCTGGAGGAGGCCTCTCCGGTGAGTCCTGTCAGAGCCCAGAGAAGCCAACCCAAAGTCCTTTTCTCCCCCCTCTCCACTTCCCCCCCCCGGGGGGATTTCCCACAGTTGGCCCGAGTCTCCCCCTGTACCTGTTGAAGAGACAACACCTGCCCCGTTTTTCCCCCCCCAGGTGAAAAGACAAACACAAGGCCCTGGAGAGCTCTCCGGCAGTTGCCGCCGTTGGAACCGAGGAAGTCGGTCTGTGGTTGCTTAGCAAAGAGATCCCAGATCCCTAAGCAGGGTTTGGTTTTGACACTTAAAGCCTTAGAGAAAACCAGCGCTTAGATCCGATGAGCTGGCTCGCCAGTTCCTCTCGGCTGCTGGGTTAATAACCTGTCTGAAATGCCAGCATCCCCATTTTTCCAGAAGTTTGAATTAAGGAGAAAGTTCCTAACAGTGAGGACAATTAACCACTGGAACAGCTGGCCTCCATAAATCGTGGGTGCTCCATCACTGGAGGTTTTTAAGAAGAGGCTAGACAGTCACTTGTCTGAGATGGTATAGGTTCTCCTGCTTGGGTTGGGGGGCTGGACTACAAGACCTCCAAGGTCCCTTCCAGCTCCTATTCTATTCTGTTCTGTTCTGTTCTGTTCTATTCTATTCTATTCTATTCTATTCTATTCTATTCTATTCTATTCTATTCTATTCTCTGTCTTCTATTCTATTCTTTATCTTCTATTCTCTATCTTCTATTCTATTCTATTCTATTTTATTCTATTCTCTGTCATCTGTTTTATTCTATATCTTCTATTCTCTATCTTCTATTCTATTCTATTCTATTCTATTCTATTCTATTCTATTCTATTCTATTCTATTCTATTCTATTCTATTCTATTCTATTCCATTCCATTCCATTCCATTCCATTCCATTACTTTCTATTTCTATTTCTATTTCTATTTCTTCTATTCTCTATCTTCTATTCTATTCTATTCTATTCTATTCTATTTATTCTATATCTTCTATTCTCTGTCATCTATTCTATTCTTTATCTTCTATTCTTCTATTCTCTATCTTCTATTCTATTCTATTCTCTATATTCTATTCTATTCTATTCTATTCTATTCTATTCTATTCTATTCTATATTTTCTATTCCGTTCCATTCTATTCCATTCCATTCCATTCCATTCTATTTCTATTTCTATTTCTATTTCTATTTGTTCTATTCTCTATCTTCTATTCTATTCTATTTATTCTATATCTTCTATTCTCTGTCATCTATTCTATTCTATTCTTTATCTTCTATTCTATTCTATTCTATTCTATTCTATTCTATTCTATTCTATTCTATTCTATTCTATTCTATTCTATTCTATTCTATTCTATTCTATTCTATTCTATTCCATTCCATTCCATTCCATTCCATTCCATTCCATTCCATTCTATTTCATATTCTATTCTGTTCTGTTCTATTCTATTCTATTCTTCTGCAGCTGAGGGCTATTCTCTCCCCTCCTGCGCTGCTTCCAGACAATAAAAAAGATAAGTCCAGTTCTTTTTTTCCTGCAACTGGAAAATCTCCTCCTTGATGATTTGTGTCCGTCTTCTTGGAACTGCTGAAAGGACTGTGTTTAGAGGAGGAGGGATATGACATCATCTACCTCCAGTCTACAACACAGTCCTTTCAACAGTTCCAAGAAGATCTCACACCCATTTGCACCACTCAGGTGACCCTGAGGACACTGATAAACCTCCAAGTGGCCTGAATGACTCTCTAAAAGGATGCAAATGACCAGCTGTCTGCAAGGAGGATAAATCCTTCCATTTCCCCACCCTCCAGTCAGAGCTGAAGAAGCTTCTGGGAGGAGAAGCGAAACGTCTTCAGAGGAAAACAGGAAAGTCCAGTGGCCTTTTGAAAAAAGCACCTGTGGGACAACCGTGTCCTGGATGACGGAGAATCTCCAAAGACATTTAGCTTTCCAAGGAGATCTTGACGGCAGCCCTCTCCACCCATTGTATGGTGTATTTGTTGTTTCTGATTTCATTTATCACTCTGGCCCAGCTCTTGGAGCCAAAATATTCTTGTAGCGTCCGAGGCAAGGCCTTTCTCAAGAACCTTTGCCCTTCACCATGCTCCCATTTTCTCTGGGCAAAAAAAAAAACCTAACTTTTTTTGTTTTTATAAAGTTTTATTACTATTTTTAAATAGAATTCAGTAGTGATCATTCAACAAAACGTGTTGTCTGAGCATCTTAATTCACTAATAGAAATTAAATTCCTAATCCGTAAACCTTTTCTCTAACCATTGATAACACAGGTCCCAAGTTTGAAAATATTCTACTTCTTGTTTTTCCATCATCCTTAAAGTACGTCTGACAATTTCCGCACAGTCTAGTATTTTTTTAAAATTATTTCTTCTTATAATAATAATAATAAAGTTGGAAGGGACCTTGGAGGTCACTGAGTCCAACCCCCTGCTCAGGGAGGAAACCCTACACCATTTTGGACAAATGGCTGTCCAGTCTCTTCTTAAAAACTTCCAGTCTTGGAGTATTCACCGCTTCTGGAGGCAGGTTGTTCCACTGGTGAATTTTTCTCACTGTCAGAAAGTTTCTCCTTAGTGCTAGGTTGCTTCTCTCCTTGATTAGTTTCCATCTGTTGCTTCTTCTCCTGCCCTCAGGCACTTTGGAGAATAGCTTGACTCCCTCTTCTTTGGGGCAGCCCCTGAGAGATTGGAACACTGCTATCATGTCCCCCCTTGTCCTTCTCTTTGTTAAACTAGACACACCCAATTCCAGCAACCATTCCTCATATGTTTTAGCCTCCAGTCCCCTAATCATCTTTGTTGCTCTTCTCTGTACTCTTTCTAGAGTCTCAACATCTTTTTTACATCGCGGTGACCAAAACTGGACGCAGGATTCGAAGTGTGGCGTCACCAAGGCGTTGTAAAGCGGTATTAACACTTCACGTGATCTTGATTCTATCCCTCTGTTCATGCAGCCTAGCACTGTGTTGGCTTTTTTGGCAGCTGCAGCACACGGATGGCTCATCTTTAAGGGATTGTCCATTAGGACTCCGAGGTCCCTCTCACAGTTACTTCCTTCTTCCAGTATTGTGCAAATATAACTCTTGCCGCCGTTATCACATGGAAAATCAAATACGTACTTTGCTTATCAAGTTTTTCTGGCATTATAGCTAGTAAAAAGACATCAGAAGTCTGCATCCACAATTGATATATTCTGATTTTATCTCAGGGATCAGAAGCGTACAAGGAATGGTGAGATGCTGACATCTCCACAAGCTTGATCTTTCTCTACACCTTTTGCAGAAGAAATGTCTTTTTTTTTTCCCCCTGTAACGTTAATGTGCAAACTTGTGCTTTCCTTTCCTTTTTCTGTTTAGTTATCTCCCATGGTTTGAAGTCTTTTATAAACTGCTGAATATTCTGGCAGACTACACAGTGAAGGGCCAGGTAAATATACTTCTGTGTTTGTGTGTGACTTCTTGTTTGTCTTGTGGGTTTGAAGAGGTGCGTATAGTAGTGGCCAACATTGTGGAAACCTTTTGGGAAAAGTGTACAGTAGAGATGCCAGCTTTGGTTAAGTTTCCACCCATTTTTCTAATAGCTTTGTTCACTTAATAATACTATTTTACATTGCTTTCTGGGCAACCAGTCAACTCTTTGCACCATGACTTTAATTTTATTACATTTTACAAGCTCACTCAATGAAAGAACACCAAAAAAACCCCAACCAACTTGATAGCGATCACATAACACACTGACAAACGTCCTCCTCTCAGCTTCAATACAGGACATCAATAACTGGATCCTACTGTGATCTGATTGGCTCATTGCCAAAACAAGATGACACCTGATTGGCTCTCTAAACACTCATGCTCATTGGCTACAATCTGATGAAGGAGAGCTACCTGAGATCAACCTAAGCAAGTTGTGCTTCCTTTTTCTGGTTATTTGGCTATGCCTTTTCAGAGAATACAGTTCAGATAATTGAACAAACTATGTTTCATTACATTCTTGGTGAAATTATCTTTCTATTGATATATAATTTTATGGTACTACTCCCCCCAAAAAGTGGTGTTACTAGCCATCAAACCTCAAAAATACACTTTCTCCTTTTTTTAAAAAAAATATTTTTTATTGAATAACAAAAATTAAAAACATTGAACATGGTAAATCAGATTTGACATACATCACAGTTCATATTCACAATTAACTACTAATATAAGAAAAAAAAACCCTTTACAATAACATCACTCTAATCTCAATCTTAACTTATCTCATTACAATGACTACCATATTTCCCCCCCCCCCCCCACCATCTATAAAATTTATCCCAAATTTGGTAAAAATCCGTTTCATCCTGATTTTTGAGTCTCTTAGTTAACCTATCTAAATTCTGCGCAGTGCATAATTTTTATGAATTAAGATTTCCTCACTTGGTATAGCCGTAGCTTTCCAATTTTAAAAATACACTTTTCCCAAAAGGTTTCCACACTTTTGGCTACTATTGTATGTTTGAGTGAGACCCATTGTGTGTATGTCTTTAACACTTTATCGTTCGACAACTCCAGAAGCGAGCCAAGTCATCTTTGATTCAGCTTTTGAAGACAAATCTAGATTATTTCACTAGAACACGTTTTGTTAAAATAAGAAGACAGGCCACAACAGTTGAACTTACAACAGAGTTCACTTAGGAAGTGTTCAAGTTACAACAGCACTGAAAAAAAGTGCCTTTTGACCGTTTTTCACACTTACGACCTTTGCATGGTCATGTGACCAAAAATATTCAGATGCTTGGCCACTGACTTGTACTTATGCCAGTTTGCAGTGTCCTGGGGTCACGTGATCCTGTTTTGCGACCTTCTGACAAGCAAAGTCAATGGGGGAAGCCGGATTCACTTAATGACTAGGTTACTGACTTAACAACCTGCAGTGATTCACTTAGTGACTTAGTGTCGAGAAATGGGGCAAAACTCACTTAACAGATGTTTCGCTTAGCAAACATCAATTTGCAACGTCTGTCAGAAGAGACCACGTTGGTCCCGGCTGTGGCCTTCAATAGATTGACAGGCGGCCATTTTCCCAGTGGGGGAGGGGAAAATAAGGGTTCCTTTGTTGACAGAAGTAAGGCGGATCGCTTTCTCGCCCCTTGATGAGGTGGACACAAGGAAAACCCAAGATATGTTTTGGCCTCTCGTTAACAAGAGACAGAAGGAGATAGATGTTCTTCTCCCAATGAACGTAACCACCTCGGAAAGACCACCTCGTTGTTTCTTCTTTGTTTTAGGAGAGCCAAAAATGTGAACTTCTGCAGACACTTTACAAACTACCAATTCCTGAGCCGGCTTCTTCGGTTCATCTCAGTGTGGTAAGCGTTCCTAAAAATGGGAAAAGTCTGGAGGGTTTTTTTGGTCTGGAGAAGGTCTTCGGTCACTGTCTTGGGGGCTCCACAGAAGTCCCAGGAGCAGAGATGACCTTTCCCCGTTCTTTTTTTTTTCCTCCAATATTTAATTAATTTTTTTATAGTCACAAATGCTTAATATTTTATCAGCAACATCTTGTCTGGGTTCCAATATTTAACTTACTAATACATATTAAGATCCTTTCTCTCTACCTTGTTTTTTCTAGCCATTGATAAAAAGTATCCCATGTTCTAAAGCTGGGGTCTTCAAACCTGGCCCTTTGATGACTTGTGGACCTCAACTCCCAGAATTCCTCAGCCAGCATGGACCAAATAAGCTAGGGGTCTTCAAACTTGGCCCTTTGATGATTTGTGGACTTCAACTCCCAGAATTCCTCAGCCAGCATGGTCCATATAAGCCAGGGGTCTTCAAACTTGGCCCTTTTATGACTTGTGGACTTCAACTCCCAGAATTCCTCAACCAGCATGGACCAAATAAACCAGGGGTCTTCAAACTTGGCCCTTTTATGACTTGTGGACTTCAACTCCCAGAATTCCTCAGCCAGCAGGAGTCCACAAGTCATAAAAGGGCCAAGTTTGAAGACCCCTGTCTTAAATCTAAGAAACAAAATGGAGGCTGGCTGAGGAATTCTGGGAGTTGAAGTCCACAAGTCATAAAAGGGCCAAGTTTGAAGACCCCTGTCCTAAAGTATACTGAGTCTTCTTTCTCTTTCATTTTCAGTGTCAATCTGTCCATTTCTGCACAGTCTAAAAATGTTCTTAATTATCTCTTCCTCCGCTGGTAATTCTTCATCTTTCCAATGTTGAGCACGTACAATTCTCGCTGCAATGAACAACCTAGAACTAAGGAGAAACTTCCTGACAGTGAGAACAATTAATCAGTGGAACAGCTTGCCTCCAGAAGCAGTAAATGCTCCAACACTGGAAGTTTTTAAGAAGAGACTGGACAGCCATTTGTCCGAAATAGCGTAGGGTTTCCTGCCCGAGCAGGGGGTTGGACTAGATGACCTCCAAGGTCCCTTCCAACTTTACTACTATTACTATTACATGTAACATTAAATATATACACATTCCTTCTCATAATTTCCTACCATTGTGCCTAATGAAAATAATTCTGGCTTAAAATCCATGTATTTTTTTTTTTAGTTGTTTTCTCTAACCATCTATGTATTCTTGACCAAAATCCTTGGGCTTTAGGACATGTCCACCAAAGATGATAATATGTGCCTGGTTTTTGTCTACATAATCCAACAATTACCAGACATATTTTTAAACATTTTCTCACAGGTGTTAAGTGCCATCTGTAAAACATTTTATATGGGTTTTCTTGGTAAGCTACCGCCTTTGTTATTTTAGAATTTCTTTCCCAAAACCTTTCCCCATTCCTAACCACCACATTGGCTTAAGATAAGCCAAGAGCGATCTTTTCCTGGAATCTCCATGAATAGGAAAGAACATTAAACCTACTTACCTGATAACAAATCCATATCTTGTGTTTAGCATCACTGCATTTTGGATTGTCGAGTTGCGTTCCGTTGTGTTTATGGCATCAGTGGTGTATGCTGAAGTTCTTTTTTTCTTTTTCAAGCAGTAGATCAGTGCTCCTCAACCCTGGCAATTTGTGGACGGCAACTGGGTGGGCCTTCTGGGGCTTGCTGTCCACATGTCTTCAAGTTATCAAGTTTGTGAATCTCTGCAGTACCGCATAAATATGTCAAAATAAATGGAAATGTTTTTTTTCTTTCTCTCTCCGCCCTACCCCGTCAGCACTCTTACTTTACGGTGCCCGACCCCAGGGACCTTCCCAGCATCCCCGAAAATGTAAGTTTCTGCTGTGGGAAAATTAAAGATTTGTGGAAATGCTTGTAGATCAGAATAGAAGGCTTGCTTGCCAATTTTAGTCTGGATCCCAAGAGTTTGGGGTAGAGTAGAGTAGAGTAGTATGGAGTGGAGTGGAGTGGAGTGGAGCGGAGAGTGGAGTGGAATGGAATGGAATGATAAGAAATTAGAATAGAATAGAATAGAATAGAATAGAATAGAATAGAATAGAATAGAATAGAATAGAATAGAATAGAAAATATGGAATCAAGTAAAATGGAACAGAACAGAACAGAATAGAATAGAGCTGGAAGGGACCTTGGAGGTCTTCTAGTCCAGCCCCCTACTCAAGCAGGAGGGCCTATACCATATCAGACAGGTGATTGTCCAGTCTCTTTTTAAAAACATCCAGCGATGGAGCACCCACGATTTCTGGGGGTAAGCTGTTCCACCGGTTGATTGTTCTCACTGTCAGGAAGTTTCTCCTTAATTCCAGGTTGCTTCTCTCCTTGATCAGTTTCCAACTGTTGTTTCTCGTCCTTCACTCTGGTGCTTTGGAGAATAGTTCGACCCCCTCTTCCTTGTGGCAGCCCCTCAAATACTGGAATATTGCTATCATGTCACCCCTGTTTCTTCTTTTCTTTAGACTAGCCAAACCCAAATCCTGCAGCCGTTCTTTGTACATTTTGGTCTCCAGGCCTTTGATCATCTTAGTTGCTCTTCTCTGAAATTTTTCCAAACTCTCAACATCTTTTTTGTGATAGGGTGCCCAAAACTGGCTGCAGTATTCCAGGTGTAGTCTTACTAGGGCTTTATAAAGCAGTACTAGTACTTCACGTGATCTTGATTCTGCGCCTCTGTTTATGCAACCCCGGATTGTATTAGCTTTTTTGGCGGCTGCTGCACAACTGCTGGCTCATAGTCAAGTGATCGTTCACCATGACTCCATGGCCCCTCTCACAGTTACTGTCTCCAGTCCAGGTCTCGCCCAATCTGTATTTGTGCCTTTGGTTTTTCTTGCCTAAGTGTAAGACTTTGCTTTCCTCCACAGTTTAGCAACTTAGCATCTGGGTAGCACGAAAATTGCCTTTTTTTTTTTTTGACAGCCCTGCCAAGTTATCTCCATGTGCTGCTGTTGTATCTGTACCACGGTGGCAGGAAGTGGCTACTACTTCTAAACAGTTTCTGTTTAGACACAAATATCTTGCTAATCAGCACAGATGGAGTAGGAACCACGGGGAGGGAGGAACTGCGTGCCAGTTGAACAGGTTTATTTCAACACAAGGTCCATGTTATTCTCCTAGTCCAGGGGTGGGCAACCCAAAACACTCAAAGAGCCACTTGGACCCATTTTCCACCAAAAACAAAACACTGGGAGCTCAAAACCCTTCTGATATCTAAAATGAAGATAACACTGCATATATCCTTTTTTACAGATAGATAGATAGATAATAGATAGATAGATAATAGATAGATCTGATAGATAGATTAGATAGATAGATTAGATAGATAGATAGATAGATAGATAGATAGATAGATAGATAGATCATAAAGGTAAAAAGGGGTATATGCCGTGTTATCTTCACTTTAGATGTCAAAAGAGTCTCTCTCTCTCTCTCTCTCCCTCTCTTTCCCTCTCTCTGTTTCTGCCCTTGGTCTGCCAGTCCTCTTCCCCGACTCACACACTCTCTCTCTCTCTCTCCTCTCCTCTCCTTCTCTTTTCCTTTCTCTCCCTCTCTCTTTCCTCTCCCTCTTTCTTTCTTTCTTTCTTTCTTTCTTTCTTTCTTTCTTTCTTTCTCTCCCTCTCTCTCTTTCTCTCCCCCCCTCTGCCCTCCTCTCTGAACTTCTGCTCACCTGGCAAGCTGGCTTCAAGCTGTTCTCCAACAAGCTCAGGGTAGACAACCTGGGCTCTTTTATGACTCATGGACTTCAACTCCCAGAATTCCTGAGCCAGCATAGCTGGGCTAGCTAGCTCTCTCCTGCCCTTCCTGCTTCCTGCTTCCTGCAGAGACGCAGCCAAGGCAGGAGCCCCGCACAGTAAGCTTTTCAGCTCCTCGGAGAACACGGTGAGTCCACTCTCTTTTTTACATACACACACACACACACACACACACACACACGGAAAGAGAGAGAGAGAGAGAGAGAGAGAGAGAGAGAGAGAGAGAGATGGGGGAAGCGCAAGTGCCTCTCTCTCTCTCTCTCTCTGCAAATGGCGGAGGAGGCTGGGAGCCACATGGGAAGGCTCAAAGAGCCACATGTGGCTTCGGAGCTGCAGGTTGCCAACCTGTGTCCTAGCCCCTTCTACTGGATGATTCTCCCTCTTAGCTGGCCAGTAAGGTTTGAGTTAAACCAACGAGGTGCCATGGAGGGTGTTGGTGCTGCCCATGATCTTCACCCTGGCACTCTTGAGTTCTTATCACCCCTCTGAGCTAATCACTCTGTCTGCCTTGTGGAAGAGAGCGTATTTTTATGAGCAGAAAAGTCTGCAGAAATTTCTAAGAGGAAGATCATAAAATATTGATGGTTTGGGTTGAATTAAGGTTAGACAGATAATTTCCCATGTTGCAAGGCCATTAGCCCATTGTTTAGGCCAGTCTAGAGAAAAGAAGGACGAGGGGGGACATGATAGCAGTATTCCAATATTTTGAGGGGCTGCCACCAAGAAGAGGAAGGGGCCAACTTATTTTCCAAAGCACCAGAAGGCAAGACAAGAAACAACGGATGGAAACTGATCAAGGAGAAATCCTAGCTAGAATGAAGGAGACACTTCCTAACAGAGAGGACAATTAACCAGTGGAACAGCTTGCCACCAGAGATAGTGTGTGCTCCATCACTGGAGGTTTTAAAGAAGAGGATGGATAGCCACTTGTCTGGCATGGTCTACTCTAGAGGTCTTCAAACTTGGCCCTTTTATGACGTGTGGACTTCAACTCCCAGAACTCCTCAACCAGTGTGCCTGGCTGAGGAATTCTGGGAGTTGAAGTCCACAGGTCATAAAAGGGCCAAGTTTGAAGACCCTTGGTCTAGGGCAGGGGTAGGCCACCTTGGCTCTTTTATGACTCATGGACGTCAACTCCCAGAATTCCTGAGCCAACGTGGCTCAGCTTGGAAAGCTCTCTCTTTTCCCTCAGCATGGCTGGCTCAGGAATTCTGGGAGTTGAAGTCCACCAGTCATGAAAGAGCCAAGGTTGCCTACCCCTGGTCTAGGGTTTTCTGCCTGAGCAGGAGGTTGGACTAGAAGACTTCCAAGGTCCCTTCCAACTTTATTCTGATTGATTGATTGATTAAGATTTCTATCCCACCTTAGATGCTAGCTTGAGAGTGACTATTGAGGAGTGTCACAGCTCCCTTGGCTGGAAGACAATTTCCTAACCATCCTTCACTTCTTTTTCTTTCCTAGAGAAATCTGACTGAGTATTTTGTCGCCGTGGATGTCAACAACATGCTGCATTTGTACGCTAGTATGCTATACGAACGCCGCATCCTCATTTGCTGCAGTAAATTGAGCACGGTGAGTTGGAAAAGGCATCCTTTCCTCTGAGTCGCTGCTAGAGATATTAGCAGTGGAGCCTAATGGGCGAATCTAGCCTGGCTAGAAGTGGGCTGAACCTTAACGCTGAACCTCAACTTTTCACTTTTTCATAATATTATAAATTAGCCATTTCTATAAGAGCAAATCAAGGCAGTCAGTCGAACCCAAAATCAACATTTCATTTCCCCCCCCCACCTCGAGCACAAAGTCCAGAAACGGTTTCCAAGTAGAAATGAAAGCACTTGTATCTTTTTCTTTAATCAAAGGGGTCAATTTAGCCATCTCCGCTAACTTTTCTTTCTTGGTGTCATCGCTTCGGGAATAACGTTCATAGCGGTCTGTTGTTTTTGTACGCCGCATGATGGCTAGATTACCGTAGTTTCCAGCGTATAAGGACGTATAAGACGACCCCCAACTTCGGCGCCGATTTCCATGCCTAGAAAGTCATCTTATACGCTGGAAACTACCGTTATTTCCGGTGTACAAGGCGACTGGGCGTATAAGATGACCCCCGACTTCGGCGCCAATTTCCATGCCTAGAAAGTCGTCTTATACGCCGGAAATTACCGTCATTTCCGGCGTATAAGGCGACTGGGCATATAAGACGACCCCGACTTCGGCGCCAATTTCCATGCCTAGAAAGTGGTCTTATACGCCAGAAAATACGGCACTTGTTTGCTTGTTTTCTGGAGGCAAAAAAAAAAAAAGTAGGGAAGAAAAGAATGAATCAACGAAGCTTTCAGATGGATCTCCTCGTGACCTCTTAGCAAACTCAAATGGGGGATGATAAGAATCTCAGTTCCCCCCCCCCAATTTTGTTGGATAAGGATGCTGGCTTAATGCTACTTAGAGCCCATCAAGTGCCCAGAGAGATGAAAGACGCAGCACACTTATGCCCGCTCTTGTTACATTACTTATAAAAAAAAAAATGACTTTACTATCCACAGTGTTCCAGTTTGGTTTAGTTCAGAGTTCAGATCTGTATATGTCGCAAGGTTTTAGCAGTAGCCATAGCTGGCTCTAGGTTGTTGTTGTTGTTTTTTTAAAAAAAGAGAATGTTATTTTTTTTTCCTAGCTGTTTGTTCGGTAAATAGGTATTGATTGCAGAGGGAGGCTGTTTCGTTTCATTTTGTTTTGCTTGTCCCCTGAATAAATGGCAAATTAATTCTACACACACACACACACACACACACACACACACACACATACTGTTGACTTAGACATATGCCATTGTCTGGATTTGGAGAGACTCCCCATCCTGCAGCCTGATATTGAGAGTATGAATTGAACTCTAGCAAAAGCACCAGAGGGCAGGACGAGAAACAATGGATGGAAACTGACCAAGGAGAGAAGCAACCTGGAATTAAGGAGAAACTTCCTGACAGTGAGGACAATTAACCAGGGGAACAGCTTGCCACCAGAAATCATGGACGCTCCATCACTAGATATTTTTAAGAAGAGACTGGACAATCACCTGTCTGAGATGGTATAGGACAGTTCTCCTGCTTGAGCAGAGGGCTGGACTAGAAGATCTCCAAGGTCCCATTCTATTCTATTCTATTCTATTCTATTCTATTCTATTCTATTCTATTCTATTCTATTCTATTTTATTCCATTCCATTCCATTCCATTTCATTCCATTCCATTTTCTATATTCTATTCTATTCTATTCCATTTTCTATATTCTATTCCTATTCTATTCTATTCTATTCTATTCTATTCTATTCTATTCTATTCTATTCTATTCTATTCTATTCTATTCTATTCTATTCTATTCTATTCTATTCCTTAATTCTATTCTGTTCTATTCTATTTCATATTCTATTCTATTTTCTTATATTCTCTATTCTATTCTATTCTATTCTATTCTATATCTTCTATTCTATTTTCTTATATTCTCTATTCTATTCTATTCTATATTCTATTCTATTCTATTTTCTTATATTCTCTATTCTATTCTATTCTATTCTATTCTATTCTATTCTATTCTATTCTATTCTATTTCCTATTCTATTCTATTCTATTTTATTCCTATTCTATTCTATTCTAAAACTGGCAGTGAAAAATATTTCCAAACGAAACCAAAAGGTATAAATTTTCTAGTCTGTTCAATGAACCAGTATATATTGTCACGAAGGAGCGTGGGATGGATACTGGTGAATTTTGAAAAACGTTCCTACATGGGCAATTAGTCAACTGATCCCATGTTTTCCTTCAGGGATTGTTGTTTTGCTCAGTTTTCCAAACTAAAGAACTTCCATGGCTAAGCCTCTGGTTCTTCAGGTGAAGATGATTAAGAACCGCTATTAAGGAATGTTTTTCTTTGTAGAAAGGCATTTTAAAAAAGTTTAGCAGGCCAAAATTGGACCCACATACCGACACCCACGCAGTACACTTAGAAATCCTTACAATTCAGGCAGGAATTCCGAATTATGAGCGCAAGATAGAATAAAATTCTGTTTTTTGCATTAAAAAGCTTCTTTCTCGGTCATAAAGCCCACTAAGGGAGTATCCTTGCCTTGTCTGTCTTTTCCTTGGGTGTAATTGTTGGGAAGAGGGGAAGACAACACAGGGGAGGCATCCGTTGTTGAAGGAGCAAATGACAAAATCTGTTATTTTTAGAGGGTTTTTTTTTTTTTAATGGCTGTTTTCCTGCTTTGGATTCTCCGAATCCCAAGCTGCGTTCCAGGAACTTTTGGCCAACCTCTTTCCAACATACCAAGTTCGGCCATCCTAGTGCTGAACAAAACATCTTGTAGGAAGGAACTAGTGGAAGTATGGGGATTGCAAATCGTAGTAGCGGTTGGCGGGTTTCCTCAAGCGTTGTCGCCTTCCAAAGATGGCTTTGAGGTGGCTTGTTTTCACTTACCCCCCCCAGCCTTTGATTTTATGAAGCAAAGTCTTGTGACATGGTTTAATAGTCCAGAGGTCCCCAACCTTGCAACTTTAAGACTTGTGGATTTCAACTCCCAGAATTTCTCAGTGACTATCACTGGGTGTTGTATCTTGTGATTGATGATGATTGTATTCTATGATTATGATCATGATGTATTACTTGTTGCTTGTATGTACTCTGAGAGCTTCTGCCCTTGAAACAAACTCCTTGTGTGTCAAATCACACTTGGCCAATGAAAAATCTCTTCTCTTCTCTTCTCTTCTCTTTTCTCCTCTCCTCTCCTCTCCCCCTCCCCTCCCTTCTCCTCTCCTCTCCTACTCTCCTCTCCTCTGTTCTACTCTTCTCTATTCTGTTCTCTATTCTAACTTCTCTTCTATTCTCTCTTCTCTTCTCTTTTCTCCTCTCCTCTCCCCTCCCCTCCCCTCCCCTCCCCTCTCCTACTCTATTCTACTCTACTCTATTCTGTTCTCTATTCTAACTTCTCTTCTACTCTACTCTGTTCTACTCTATTCAATTCTCTATTCTAACTTCTCTTCTCTACTCTACTCTCTCTTCTCTTCTCTCCTCTTTTCTTCTCCTCTCCTCTCCTCTCCCCCTCCCCTCCCTTCTCCTCTCCTCTCCTACTCTCCTCTCCTCTATTCTACTCTTCTCTATTCTGTTCTCTATTCTAACTTCTCTTCTACTCTCTTCTCTTCTCTTCTCTTCTTTACCCTACTTTACTGTACTCTATTCTATTCTCTATTCTGACTTCTCTTCTCTTCTCTTCTCTTTTCTTCTTTACTCTACTCTACTCTACTCTATATCCTACCCTATCCTATCCTATCCTATTCTCTATTTTAACTTCTCTCCTCTCTTCTCCTCTCCTCTTATCCCTATCCCTATCCCCCCAAACAGTGACATCCCATAAGCGAGAGCACTGAGTGTTTCAATGATGCAATAAAAAAGATCTTAACCCCAAACCTTGCCCAAAGTTCTCAACCCCAGGAAAGTATCAAAAATCTGGCCTCAGTTATCAACAAGAGAGTCCACTGAGGGACTTTCTCCACCAACCGGTGGAGTTGTGTCGCAATAATCTTGGGATGGGTCTTCCCCTTTTGCCCAGGTGAGCTGACCTTTGACCTTTTTGTTCTTTCAGTTAACTGCCTGTGTCCACGGCTCAGCCTCCTTGCTTTACCCCATGTTTTGGCAACACGTTTATATCCCCGTCCTGCCTCCTCACCTGCTGGACTACTGCTGGTAAGAATATGTCCTTGTTCCTAGGAATCTTTCCGAGGATCTTAGGGGTTTTAACAATTTCAAGACCTATGTAAGTTTTCTGCAGGGTCTCCTATCCAACATAAATGTGTATATACTGGTAGTCCTCTTCTTACACCCGTTTGGTTAGTGACTGTTCAAAGTTCCCGTGACACTGGGAAAAAAAGTAACTTATGTCTATTTTTTCACACTTATGACCGTTGCAGCATCCACTAGGGCCACGTGATCAACATTCGGATGCTTGGCAACTGACTCACATTTATGACGGTCGCAGCGTCCCTGGGGGGGTCACGTGATCCCGTTTTGCGACCTTCCGACGAGCAAATTCAATGGGGGAAGCTGGACTCACTTCACGAATTGAACAACTGTAGCGGTTCACTTAATAAATTCAGTGAAGTAGACTTGGCAAGGGAGAAGCAGAATAAAAGAATAACAGAATAACTGGTCTTCTAGTCCAGCCCCATGCTCAAGCAGGAGACCCTATACCATTTCAGACAAATGGCTTTACAGTCTCTTCTTAAAAACCTCCAGTGATGAAGCATCCACAACCTCTGAAGACAAGCTGTTCCACTGGTTAATTGTCCTCACTGTTAGGAAGTTTCTCCATAATTCCAGGTTGCTTCTCTCCTTGATTAGTTTCCATCCGTTGTTCCTTCTCTTGCCTTCTGGTGCTTTGGAAAATAGGTTGACCCCCTCTTCTTTGTGGCAGCCCCTCAAATACTGGAATATTACTGAATAGAATAGAATAGAATAGAATAGAATAGAATAGAATAGAATAGAATAGAATAGAATAGAATAGAATATATGGAATAGAATAGAGCTGGAAGGGACCTTGGAGGTCTTCTAGTCCAGCCCTCTGCTCAAGCAGGAGAACCTATACTGTCTCAGACAGGTGACTGTCTAGGCTTAAAAACCTCCAGTGATGGAGCGCCCACGATGTCTGGAGGCAAGCTGTTCCACTGGCTGATTGTCCCCACTGTCAGGAAGTTTCTCCTTAATTCCAGGTTGCTTCTCTCCTTGATTAGTTTCCAACCGTTGTTTCTCGTCCTGCCCTCTGCTGCTTTGGTGAACAACCTGACCCCCTCTGTCTTGTGGCAGCCCTCCAGATACTGGAACACTGCTATCATGTCCTCCCTATTTCTTCTTTTCTTTAGACTAGCCAAACCCAAGTCCTGCAGCCATTCTTCGTATGTTTTAGCCTCCAGGCCTTGGATCCTCTTTGCTGCGCTTCTCTGCACTCTTTCCGACGTCTCAACATCAAATGTTGAGACTCTGGAAGGTGTGCAGAAAAGAGCAGCATCAATGCACCTGGTGACCTTCTGTGGTTGAGGGCGAAGCTGGTCTGATGCCCTCACTGCATCACCAGCTCTCTGTTCCTTCCCCATGGCTGCTCGTTGGACATTACAGCATGAAAGCCGACAATCCCTGGGCTGTACATTTCACATCTTGGGGGTCCTTTTAAGAGGAATACAGGGAGGGGGGAAGCCTCTGGGGGTGCCCCTTTTTCTGGAAGTACACCTTGCTTTCCCCCCCCCCCCTCTTCAAAGTGGCTTTCATTCATTATCCTCAAAGGCTGCCAAATCGGCGTTGTGTAGCTGATCCATTCACCAGCTTTTGAGTTTAAAAAGAGGGGGGGGGGAAAACAGCACGGGGTGATGAGAACGGATCTCCGGGGCCTTCCTGCGTTAAGGAAGCAGCGGGAATCTAAGTGGCATTGGAAGTGAGGTGTCTGAACTTGCTTGAAACATGTGAATTTCAAGGCGGTTTTGTTCGCCGGCAGATGATTTAAAGGCTAAGTACCTTCCTTGGTTGGAGACACATCTCTCTTTGCTGGCAGAAAAGGCTGATTCCCAAGTCATTTGCAAGACCAGCCTAGGCTTTTCCTGGTCTAATAGGATGTGGCCGTGCGTTCATAATTAACACAAGGAGAGAAGTCGCTCCTGATGGTTGCGTCTTCAGGTGTTCGTTGCAAGGAGCTGCTGGGTCAAGTCTCTGCCATGCAGAGGCGCCTCTGAAAAGACAGAACGGACATCAAAAGAAACCGTCACATGGAGAGGCTCTTGAGCAGATTTATTTCGTTTATTTAACTCATTTTCTTTTTTTAGAGCCACTCAACTCAACCCAGCAACACGATCAAACGATTAAAAACAATACATCCGGAAACTCAGAATCAGAATAGAGCTGGAGGGGACCTTGGAGGTCTTCTAGTCCAGCCCCCTGCTCAAGCAGGAGACCCTAGACCAGGGGTAGGCAACCTTGGCTCTTTGATGACTCGTGGACTTCAACTCCCAGAATTCCTGAGCCAGCCTGGCTCAGCATGGAAACCTCTCCCTTTCCCCTCAGCATGGCTGGCTCAGGAATTCTGGGAGTTGAAGTCCACGAGTCATAAAAGAGCCAAGGTTGCCTACACCTGGACTAGGCCATTTCAGGCAAGTGACTGTCCAGTCTCTTGTTAAAAACCTCCAGTGATGGAGCCCCTACAATGTCTGGTGGCAAGCTGTTCCCCTGGTTAATTGTCCTCACTGTTAGGAAGTTTCTCCTTAATTCCAGGTTGCTTCTCTCCTTGGTTAATTTCCATCCATTGTTTCTTGTCCTGCCTTCTGGTGCTTTGGAGAATAGGTTGACCCACACTCCTCTTTGGCAGCCCCTCAAATATTGGAATACCGCTATCATGTCCCACCTAGTCCTTCTTTTCTCTAGACTGGCCATTCCCAAATCCTGCAGCCGTTCTTCATATATTTTAGTCTCCAGGCCTTTAAAACATCTTAGTTGCTCTTCTCTGCACTTTTTCCAAAGCCTCAACATCTTTTTTGCAATGTGGTGACCAAAACTGGATGCTGCATTCCAGGTGTGCCTTACTAAGGCTTTATAAAGTGGTACTAATATTTTGCGTGATTTTGATTCTGTGTCTCTGTTTATACAACCCAGGATTGTGTTAGCTTTTGTGGCTGCTGCCGCACACGGCTGGCTCTTCTTTAAGTCATCGTTCACTAGGAGTCCAAGGTCCCTCTCACAGTTATGGAGTCCAAATTTTCTGTTGCTAAGTGGGATAGTTGTTCAGTGAATTTTGCCTCCTTTTACGACCTTTCTTGGCACAGTTTCAAATGAATCCCTGTAGTCGTTAAGTTAGTGACACGGCCACTAAGCGAATCCAACTTCCCGCTTGACTTTTGCTTGCCGAAAGGTCACCAGAGGGAATCGCATGACCTGGAATGCTGCAAACGTCGTAACGACGAGTCGGATGCCAAGCGTCTGAACTCGGAGGAACGTTGCAACGGTCGTAAGTGTGAAAAAAGGATCATTTTTCTGTGCCGTCGTAACTTTGAACGGCCACTAAGCAAACTGTTGTAACTTGAGAACTACCTATAACAGTGAAGTAAAAAATCGAAAAGGGAAAAGCTAAGAAATGGTACGGGTAAACACATTCAGGTGCACGTGGGACCACCCTAGAATTTTTTCTCCAGGATGGGCTGGGTCCCCAAAAAATGTTCTGGAAGAGGGGGGAAACCCCCAGGAAAATCAAAACGATCAGTTTAGGAATGTGGCTTAGAACGACAAGGCTCCCCCCCAAAAATTAAAAATAGCTGTAATTAGCGGAAAGAACTTAATTGCTCTTTTGCCAACGTAACTGATTACGGTAGGCTGATGTGAACTTCAATTAGAATACCGTAGTAATTGTACATGATAATTGCCTGGATAAATCAATTTAGCCCTAGTTTGTGTAGCTTAAATACATCTCCTTCCCTCCCCCCCACACACAAATAGCTATCTCAATTTTGGAAATGAAAAGATCTATTTTGGGCCCCTAAACTCCGTCCCGTCTGCTGAGATTTTGGAGAGGTGGAATGAAAAGAGAAGAGGTTCCCAGGTTCTGCTTTTTTGAATTTGCTTATGAGTTTAAAATGTAAACATTGAGTTGGTATTTGGGGAGGGGGGGGAGAAAGGGGGGGGATGTTGCAGCTGTGATCCAGTTGTGTCTTGTGAAGGGTAGCAGGTGGCAAAGAGGGGGGAAAAAATTGTGATTGTTTTGCAACTGGACTTTGGCTGTTTTTCCAGCCCATCCCGTTTCGGAGTCTCCTGGTGATACTTCATGGTCATTTGATACTCTTGGGATAATTTGAGACATTAGATCAGCGGGAAAGAACTGCGTAGAACTGCAAATAGTTCCCAAATGCTTGTATTTTGAGACGGTAGGAAGTTTGCTTCAGTTCAGTCCTCCAGTTTTAAACCTATGGCTGCTTTCTCCTCCTGTCCTGGCCACTTTTTGCAGAGACCGTCTTAGCAAACTGCGTCACTGTCTGGTTTGGTGCTAGCAGAGCCTCAGATAGAAGGACCATGCAGAGAGTGGTGAGGACAGCGGAAAAGATTACAGGAAGCTCGCTTCCCGTTATTCAGGACGCTGCTTATAAGCACTTACATGTGCTTAGAGCTCGGATCATTGTTAGAGATCCCACACACACACCCACTTTATGGTCTGTTTCTTTGGCTCCCCTCTGGGAGGAGGTTTAGAAGGATTTATAGCAGGACTACCAGATTCTGCAACAGCTTTGTTCCCTATGCCACCCGCCTGGTGAACTCGCAAGATTCGTTTTTCTCGCCATGTATACGTATGCATCCGAACTAGACGGTGTTCTTTCTCCGGGCCGCATGTGTGTGTGTGTGTGTGTGTGTGTGTGTGTGTGTGTGTGTGTGTGTATATGCATAATTTTATTTATTTATTTATTTATTTATTTATTGTTTATGCAGTGTATATTGGAAGTGGTTAACCTTTGAGAACTGTATGCAAAGAAATCTCATTTTAATGTATGCTGATTAGTGTATATTTAAAGGGACAGAGTTATTCTGTTCTATTCTAATTCTATTCTATTCTATTCTATTCTCTCTTCTCTTTTCTCTTCTCTTCTCTTCTCTTCTATTCCCTATTCTCTTCTCTCTTCTCTCTTCTCTCTTCTCTCTTCTCTTCTCTTCTCTTCTCTTCTCTCCTCTCTTCTCTTCTCTTCTCTTGTATTCTATTCTATTCTCTCTTCTCTTCTCTTCTATTCTATTCTCTCCTCTCTTCTCTTCTCTTCTCTTGTATTCTATTCTATTCTATTCTATTCTATTCTCTCTTCTCTTCTCTTCTATTCCCTATTCTCTTCTCTCTTCTCTTCTCTTCTCTTCTCTTCTCTTCTATTCTCTCCTCTCTTCTCTTCTCTTCTCTTCTCTTCTATTCTATTCTATTCTCTCTTCTCTTCTATTCTCTCCTCTCTTCTCTTCTCTTCTCTTCTCTTCTCTTCTCTTCTATTCTATTCTATTCTATTCTATTCTATTCTCTCTTCTCTTCTCTTCTCTTCTATTCCCTATTCTCTTCTCTCTTCTCTCTTCTCTTCTCTTCTCTTCTATTCTCTCCTCTCTTCTCTTCTCTTCTCTTCTCTTCTCTTCTATTCTATTCTCTCTTCTCTTCTCTTCTATTCTCTCCTCTCTTCTATTCTATTCTATTCTATTCTATTCTATTCTATTCTATTCTCTCCTCTCTTCTCTTCTCTTCTCTTCTCTTGTATTCTATTCTATTCTATTCTATTCTATTCTATTCTATTCTATTCTCTCTTCTCTTCTCTTCTATTCTCTTCTCTTCTATTCTCTTCTATTCTCTTCTTTTCTATTCTATTCTATTCCCTATTCTATTCTCTCTTCTCTTCTCTTCTCTTCTCTTCTCTTCTCTTCTCTTCTCTTCTATTCTATTCTATTCTATTCTTGGTGAATTAGCTGTGGCAAATTGGCCATGGTGAATTGTTCTGTGGTGAGATGGCCGTGTTGAATTGTTCGTGGTAAATTGGCTGTGGCGAATTGTCGGTGGCCAGCTGTCCTGTGGTGAATTGGCTGTGGTAAACTGGCCGTGGCGAGTTGTCCCCTTCCACACCAGAGACCACCCGGTGCAAGACCGGGTGCACTTTCAGAGATGGTGTCATGTTGAGTCTGCGCAGGGCAGGCGCGTGGCAACGGGACGGGACGGATGCTAGCGACAGACGTCTTCCGCAAGGGCGATATTCCCTCTTCTTGTCAATAGAAAACCTGGGTTGGGGGATTGGCGACTCACTTCAGTTCTTCCCCCATCCCTCCGAGCCCTGGGGTATTTTGCAATATTTTAGACGCTTTTGATTCTGACATCCCTATTAAATATTGCCTGGTCCCCAATTGCGCGCCTTGATTAATTGAGAAGACTGACGGATCCACACAAAGCAGTTAATTAAGTTTTACAGTCCTCCTGTCTCCTTCTTCGTCGTCTTGTGACAGGTTGTTCCTCTGGATGCCCCAGCAAAGGGCAGATTTTACACAACAGCCATCCCTGCCTGCTCTTCTTGATCGCCCGGCTTTGCTGGAGTTCTCCAGACGAGACATTTGCAGCTTTTTAAGACTTCCTGCTGAGTTTTTAGACCTCACAATTCTCCACGCTGCCGTGGCTGCTGTCGTTTTTTTTTGCAGAACCTACTTAATTAGGGACACGTTGGCAAGGCTGACGTCCTCCCAGCTGCTTACTGCAAGCAGCCTGAAGTTTTGTGCCGCTAAACAAATGACTTACAGCTCTCGGTTCCCGTTGATCTGGCATGGCTTTTATACCTGAGACGGTGCCGTGCGCTTAGAGGCGCTGCCGAATTCCGATCGTTAAAATCTCGGGGAGAAGGGACAGGCAAATGTAAGAAAGGAAGGACTAGAAATTCTGCATCGGTCTCGGAAGACGGGAGCTGTGGGTTTCCTCTTGTCAAAGCAATGTTTATTTTCTCCCCAGGCCCGTAGTTAGCTGTTTTCCTCTTTCCACAACTCCAGTGGAGAATGGGTGCAATCTCCTGGTGCAAAGTATTTTGCCAGGTTAACTGTCAAAGCGACCATCACTTCCAGATGTGTGCGAAGCCACCCCAAGGCTTTCTTCTCCTGTGTTTGTTGGCTGTTTTAGTTTACAGTTTAATTTAGGTGACAGCTTCAGGCTGGTGGGGGGTGGGGGGGGAACAATTTGATTTGGCACTGATATGATTTTATAAGAGCAATTGATTTCCAAGAGCTTAAGCACCCCGCCATGTCTTTCTTCAACACCTTTTCCTTGCTCTTCGATTCCCACATCACAGTTGAAGAGAAAATGGAAGTATTTTAGAGGTGGCACATGGCTCCGTCTATAATTGCCACAATAAACAAATTATATAGCTATAAATGCTGGAAACGGGCATGAGGCAAAAGGCACATTCTACCGTATGTGGTGGACATGCAGAAAAAAAAATCTCTTAAAGCAGTGGTTCTCAACCTGTGGGTCGGGACCCCATTTGGGGTCGAACGACCATTTCACGGGGGTCGCCAAACAACGCAGTCCGCCATTTCCCCCCCCCCCTTTTTCCTTAGCTCTGCTCCTCCCTTTTATTCTATTGGCTTTTGAAAGCCAATAGAATAGACTCTCTTGAATAGAGTCTAATTCTATTGGCTTTCAAAAGCCAATAGGAATTGTCCAGGCTGTCTCTGCCCTGCTGAGCCCGCCAAAAGTCCATTCTGCAAACGGTGCTGCACCAGTTGAGTAGTCCTCGACTTACGACCGGTTGAGTAGTCCTCGACGTACGACCGGTTGGGGGTCGCGGCATTAAAAAGGTTGAGAACCACTGTCTTAAAGGATCGGGAAGACCACCCCCCACACACACCCCTTCAAGAAATTTAAAAATCGAATTTGATATGGGATCACATATCAAATGGATATGACGATCACATATTCTTTGATTCTTAAAATAGGAACAGAACCTGGTTTTGTCTGTTTAAATGTATCTACTGGCAGGATCTGGGGATCAAATGAATTCTCCAGAGAAGTGAAGTGAGCACGGGCCATATCCTCTTGGTCAAACTGACTCCAACTTCTAATACTCTAATTTCTGTCTTCGTCAAATCAAAGCAACTTTTTCTCTTTCCTTCCAGTGCTCCGATGCCCTACCTCATAGGAATTCATTTAAGCCTGATAGAGGTAAGTCTAATAATAATAATAATAATAATAATAATAATAATAATAATAATAATAAAAAGTTGGAAGGGACCTTGGAGGTCATCTAGTCCAACCCCCTACTCAGGCAAGAAACCCTCTATCATTTCAGACAAATGGCTGTCCAGTCTCTTCTTCAAAACTTCCAGCGTTGGAGCATTCACCGCTTCTGGAGGCAGGTTGTTCCACTGGTTAATTGTTGTAACTTTCAGGAAATTTCTCCTTAGTTCTAGGTTGCTTCTCTCCTTGATGAGTTTCCTTCCGTTGCTTCTTGTCCTGCCTTTAGGCACTTTGGAGAATAGCTTGACTCCCTCTTCTTTGGGGCAGCCCCTGAGAGATTGGAACACCGCTATCATGTCCCCCCCCCTGGTCCTTCTCTTCGTTAAACTAGACATACCCAATTCCAGCAACCGTTCCTTGTATGTTTTAGCCTCCAGTCCCCTAATCATCTTTGTTGCACTCTTTCTAGAGTCTCCGCATCTTTTTTACATCATGGTGACCAAAACTGGATGCCGTATTCCCAAGTGTGGCCTTACCATTGGCCTGTTCAGCCTGGAAACTGGAGTTGAAGTGTCATAAACTTCCTCTCTCAGTTTGATACAGACATTCCTGGCAGAAGCTTTTTCAGTAACTGTCAGGCACCCTTAAGCTATTTCCTCTTCAGCTGTAAACCATTTCAGGCATTTGAGTTGGGGGGGGGGGGAAGATACGAGAAATTGTACGAAACTGGAAAGAATGCAGAGAAGAGCAACTAAGACGATTAGGAGAGTGAAGGCTAAAACATGCGAAGAACGATTGCAGGAATTGGGTATGTGTAGTTTAATGAAATGAAGGACTAGGGGTGACAGTCTCCCAATACTTGAGGGGCTGCCACAAAAACGAGAGGGTCAATCTATTCTCCAAAGCACCAGAAAGCAGGACAAGAAGCAACAGATAGAAACTAGCCAAGGAGAGAACCAACCTAGAACTAAAGAGAAATTTTCTGACAGTTTGAGAGCAATAAACCAGCAGACCGACCTGCCTCCAGAAGTTATGAATGCTCCAACACTGGAGGTTTCTAAGAAGATATTGGACAGCCATTTTTTTTCTGAAATGATACGAGGGTTTCCTGCTTGAGCAGGGGGTTGGACTAGATGACCTCCAAGGTCCCTTCCAACGCTGTTAATCTGTTATACTGCAGGATTTGGCTTGCGATGCAGATTAGACTGTTCCTTGAGAGTTAAAATATCAAACCTATCCATAGTTTGCTGGGTCTAATTTGCTATAATTGGAAAACTCTCCACTAAGGTAAAGTTTTTTTGGGGGGGGGGGTTGGTCCAAAGACCTGGTTTCTGATTTAAAAATCCACCACCTCTGTGTCTCAAAAGTGGGGTTTTCCGAATTTTTCACGGTTCCTTCCTTCCCAAGTTCTCTGTCATCACCTAATCATTCAGCCGAAGGATTTCTATTTTAGCCATCTCTTTGAGCAACTTCAAAGGAGACAGAAAGTTCGTAAGACAGACGGGGGGGGGGGATGTGTCGTATGAATAATGGAAGACTTTTTACGGCACTAGCCATTCCAATTCCAGAAACACAAGGATAAGCTCCCGTTAAATTTCCAGCAGATAAGATAATCTTCCTCCCTCTCTTTTGCCATTTTTTCCTGGCTGGAGCCAAAATCAGTCTGTGGTTACATTCAGGCGCTTCTTTGTGGGCCTCAAGAAATAAAGGTTTTGCCCCGTTTCCTGGTTGATGGAAATCTTCTCGGCCTTGGACCTCAGAAGATCTTTCAGTAGATTCTCACTTGGTTTCCCACACCTGAGGACCTGCTGAACGTCTGGCGGAGAATTCAGATCTTAAGTGAGAGCAAAACAACTAACACAGTGGTTCTCAACCTTTTTAATGCCATGACCCCCCAAGTCGAGGATTACTCAACTGGTCGTAAGTCGAGGACGACTCAACTGGTGCAGCACCGTTTGCAGAATGGGACTTTGGGCGGGCTCAGCAGGGCAGAGACAGCCTGGACCATTCCTATTGGCTTTTGAAAGCCAATAGAATTAGACTCTATTCAAGAGAGTCTGTTCTATTGGCTTTCAAAAGCCAATAGAATAAAAGGGAGTGGCACAGATAAGGAAAAGGGGGAAAAAATGGCGGACTGCGTTGTTTGGTGACCCCCGTGAAATGGTCGTTCGACCCCAAATGGGGTCCCGACCCACAGGTTGAGAACCACTGAACTAACAGCTGATTGTGGCATGAATCAGCAGGGTTGAGCTCCAAACATTATTTTAGAGGATTTATTGCTTATTGTGACGTTTGTTTTTGACCGACACAGCTTTAGAAGATGTTGCAGTTGACAGGAAGGATGTTCTGACAGGGTTACAAACACTTTTCAAGCAAGGGTCTACCTCAGGGGTCTTCCAACTTGGCCCTTTGATGACTTGTGGATTTCAACTCCCAGAATTCCTCAGCCAGGGCTCCGATTCTGATGACATGCTACACAAACCGTTTGCTTCCAGCTTCTTGAGTTGAAAGCAGCCTTGTCAGAAATAATGGATGCTGTTCTGATGGGTTATTTGTTTTGGTGACACCACTGTGGAAGCTGAGGAACGTAACTCAGGGGTCTTCAAATTCCTGGCTGAGGAATTCTGGGAGTTGAAGTCCATAAGTCACAAAAGGGCCAAGTTTGAAGACCTCTGGTCTACATAGATCATCTTCCACTTTTGTTGAGCACATGGTCTCCAGAATTAGCAGAAGATACACTTTCTATACATCCGGGCTACCCCTTTGGAGAAGGCCTCACAGGATCTGGGAACCCTGGAGATTATCAACCAGCGTCTTCCGAATCAGAGACATCTTTCATAGACCACAGCTGAACTCCAGAAGGCTGCTGCATCGGTAATTCTCCCGGTTTTCAGATATTTGGCGGTTGTGCACCCTTGATCCGGTGTGTGGAAAAAATTGCTAGGGTTTCATCTCCAGCTGAAGGTGAAGCCACTTCTCCTTGGGGATCGATTGCTGCCGAGTTATAAAGTCTATGGACCAAACTGTCATTCTGAAGTCTGGCGTTTCAAAGATGTCCTTCAGGGCCATTTGTGATTTTAGATCAGCTAACGTCCCTACGTTAGCCACCAATAAAATTTGGAGGCATCTGAAGATAAGGATATCTTCTCAAGGTCAAAATTGGTCCGGGCTGGTGGTAAAAGCAGGGGAGGAGCAGGGGGGTGAGTGGGCGGAAGACAGGCTACCTGCTGCCCTTGGATCAAAGGGTTCAGAGGTCAAAGGACATGGGCTACTTAACCATCCCAGTCCGTGAAGCAGCTATTTCAGACTGTAAATCAGAGAGTGATTTTAATTAAAGCTTTCCTTCCAGGATCGTAAAAGGAGATATCCTGGTCTGTATCCCCTCGCGAGCTACCAAATCAATACGTCGTGTTGCTTGCGACTACCTGCAGGTTTTCCACCGCCCGTTTGGAGTGTTTTCCAGATCATAAAACTTCATACGGGGACCGATGCACTCCTAAAAGGGGTTTTGCAAATCTTGTAGATTGAAAGTGGGCTCTCTGCTTTTCCTCAAAGCGTTCTGCGGAATAGGAACAGTCCATCAACTCTAGTTGGGTTGATTAATTGATGGTGCCACTTTTTTTCTTTTTTCTTTTTTTTTTGTCAAGGGGACAAGTCCTCACGGATGCCCCTGAGAGTCAAAGACACATTTTTATCACTTTGTCAAAGAAGATACATCACTGGCGTCAATTTTAAGTACCATTATCTGCTTTGAGAGAGACTAAGTGGGCATTTATTTAAATCTAATCGTGTAGTAAAGTAAGGCTGAAGTCCTGGTCTCTGGAAAAATATTCCTGAGCAAAGAAGGATGGGATTATTTCAGATCTGCTGTTAAGCCTCCGAATGGCGTTAGAGTTGAACAACTCAGATTACATGCTGGGTCTTCTTTTTATATATATATAATATTTTATTGGTTTTCCACTTGTTACATTTAAGTCTTTGAAAAACAACGTGGTAGCAGGGTTAAACAATAATTCAATAACATAAAGTTTACTACTGACCTCAGGTTAGATCAGGGGTAGTCAACCTTGGCTCTTTTATGACTCATGGACTTCAACTCCCAGAATTCCTGAGCCAGCTGGGAGTTGAAGTCCACGAGTCATAAAAGAGCCAAGGTTGACTACCCCTGGGTTAGATCATCAAATATTTCTTCTCTTTTTCCCCTTACAAGTTAGTACATTTCTGATTAAATCAACTCAATAAAAACATCCTTGTTACATTTATCAATACATTTTTAGCTTATACGTATTTTAATTAATCTGGGTATAACAATCCATGTCCTGTTATTAATTTTTACTTCATTTTTAAATTCTCACCAATATTCCAATCAACCTTTAAAGTCCATGATTTTCAAGCTCTAGGTAACCAAGGTTTCCCTTATCTACACTTCATAAGAAACTATAATATCCAAAATACATGTTTTACCTGTTTAAATGTAATCTTATTCTATTTCCTAAAGATTTTCTATTTTCCACCATAACTAAATTTTCTGGTTAATAATAAAATATCCCCTTTTAGTAGATCATAGCCATTATACACATTGCCTGGGTTAACCAATAAGTCAAACATATCCCTGATAGTCACTTTTTATTTCCCGTTCAGTCCTAATTTTTCAATATTATACAACTCAGAGCCTTATTTCCCACTAATTTCCCACTATTTTAAATCTAATAACCCAGAATCCTGGGTCTTCTCTGTTGGGGAAGCTTTTTGGGTAACAAATCAAGAGACACGATTATTATTTTAGTTGTTAAATTTAACTTATTGATGAACCACAAATAAGGACCCTACCCAAATAGCATTGAGGCCTTAATTCTAGATGCCACATCGATTGTTAAATTTTTGTGGAAGACTGGAGACGTCATCATGAATTTGATATCCAGTAAGGACATATAAAAAAGCCCTTTGGAGGACATATCTAGACTAACATGACTAAAAGAAAAAGTAAACCACTTGGTTGCTTGTTCAGATTTTTATATATTTTTATATATTTATATATATATATATATATATATATATATATATATATATATATATATATATATATATATATATATATACACACACTAAGCTAGGAATCCCCAGGTCAGGTGTTTGGAAAGATTCATACGTGCATTTGGGGATAGGAAGGTGCACAAGGAAAATTTGAGACAACTGAATTTTGGAAGCAGCTGAGCAACATGAATCTTTTTGGGGCATAAATAAATTACTTGCTTCTCTCTATTTTCATTTTCAGAAAGTCAGAAATATTTCTCTGGATGACGTGGTCATCCTGAATGTGGACACTAACACACTGGAAACACCTTTTGATGACCTGCAAAGCCTCCCAAATGATATAGTGAGTACACTTCGATTTTTTCTTGGTTCTTCTTATTCCTGTTTGGTAAAAGTGCCTGATCTGGAGGCAAGCTGTTCCACTGGTTAATTGTCCTCCCTGTTAGGAAGTTTCTCCTTAATTCCAGGTTGCTTCTCTTCTTGATTGGTTTCCATCCGTTGTTTCTTGTCTTGCCTTCTGGTGCTTTGGAGAATAGGTTGACCCCATCTTCTTCTTCGTGGCAGCCCCTAAAATACTGGAATACTGCTATCATGTCCCCCTTCGTCCTTCTTTTCTCCTGCCAAACCCAATTCCTGCAACCGTTCTTCATACGTTTGATCATCTTAGTTGCTCTTCTCTGAACTTTTTCCAAGGTCTCAGCATCTTTTTTGTAGCACGGTGACCACAATTGGCTGCAGTATTCCAGGTGTGGTCTTACTAGGGTTTTATAAAGCAGTATTAATACCTCGCGTGATCTTGATTTTATGCGTCTGTTTATACAACCCCGGATTGTATTAGCTTTTTTGGCTGCTGCTGCTGCACACTGCGGGCTCATAGAGGATTTATGACAGGAAGTTCACCAAGATGGATTGTGTTGGTAGAAGGATGTCAAGGCCACCCCCAGCCTCTGTAAGGCAGCTTTGATGCCAGCCCATCACAATGTTACAGCCCTCCCATCTTGTGAAAAAAAAAAAAGCTAATTGGCTCGTGATAATTGTTTTCTGCTTTGTGAAGCATCTTTTTGTCTTCTCGGCCATCATCATCATCATCGAGTTGGAAGGAACCTTGGAGGTCATCTAGTCCAACCCCCTGCTCAGGCAGGAAACCCTATACCATTTCGGACAAATGGCTGTCCAGTCTCTTCCCCTTCTTTGGAGAAGGATACCATCGAAGACTTTTAATTTCTCTCATTCCTCGCTGGTTATTTTTTTAAAAAAAATAAATTTGTTGAGCACAAAGTTTGTAATTTTTTTAAAATTTATTTTAATTTGGGCGTTGTTCGCCCCCACCCCCCACTTCTCCAAAGCTGCTTGCCTTGAAGGAGGCTTTCTTCTCCCCCCCCCTTCTTTTGATTCTGTGTTTTGCAAGTTCGGTCTTTTCCCCCTTGCTTTTTATTCATGTTGACAACTCCAAAGCCATGGATCTAATTAAAATAAATTCCTCTCGTACCTTTAGTGAACCATTTCATTATGCCGCGCTGCACAGATCGCATTTTGAAACATGGTGATAGCTTAAATCTGACCTTTCGTCCCGAACTGCCAAGAGCATAGACATGTTCTTTAGACACACAATCCCGGTTGTGTGTCTAGGCCACAGCTCTGGGGAAGAAGCTGTTCCTTCCTCGTGAGGCTATCGTCCACACTGAGGGCAGGGTGGCGGTAGGGACCCTGACAACTTGCAAGGACAGCTTGGTGAACATGTTGACTTTGTGGACAACTTTCCCAAGAGTGTAGAACAGGGGTCTTCAAACTTGGCCCTTTTATGACTTGTGGACTTCAACGCCCAGAATTCCTCAGCCAGACACGCGTGCCTGGCTGAGGAATTCTGGGCGTTGAAGTCCACAAGTCATAAAAGGGCCAAGTTTGAAGACCCCTGTCTTAAATCTAAGAAACAAAATGGAGGCTGGCTGAGGAATTCTGGGCGTTGAAGTCCACAAGTCATAAAAGGGCCAAGTTTGAAGACCCCTGTCTTAAATCTAAGAAACAAAATAAGATGGGTGGACTTCAACTCCCAGAATTCCTCAGCCAGGAATTCTGGGAGTTGACGTCCAGACATCTTAAGATGACCAAGGTTGAGTAGACAGCCACCGTGGAGACTCTTGCGATTCTGGAAGAACACAGAGGATGTGAGACGCACACTTTGGAACCCGGAACGCTTCTGCTCACTTTTGAGAATTTGTCCAAGTCAGCGAGTGTGTGAGCTGCGAGTTGCTCAGTTCCCGTCAGAGAGTGTTCTTTTGTGTCGATGGTAATGAGCCCATCAGGCTGTGTTCACCTGAAGTGGCGCTCTGTGAATCAGAGGCAATTAAACACCTCCGGGATGAAACGAAGAGGGCGGTGAAGGTTAAGTGCAGCATCGTCTGAAGCACAGGTGGGAAGAGCTTCTGAGAAGCCTTGAGGATGCCGGAGGAGTGACGGGTGGCACCTGTTGACAGGTGAGCACTGTTGGCATCGGGCTGTGGCAGATCAGCCCTGTCTGCTCTAATGAGAAAAGGGGGAGAGCTGTGTTAGGATCCTCTCCTGTGAAGTCATTACTAGACTCCATCCTGTTTTGCTTGTTGCTGATCCAAAGAACAGGAGCCCATTAGAGGCAATAATGCTTTCGGGAAGATAGATGTGGGGTCTCCCAACAAGCTGTATATTCCATCCATCCATCCATCCATCCATCCATCCATCCATCCATCAATCAATCAACCAACCAGAATAAATCTGGAAGGGACTTGGAGGTCTTCTAGTCCAGCCCTCTGCTCAAGCAGGAGATCATGTATCATTCAGATAGGTGGCTGTTCATTTTTTTCTTAAAAACCTCCAGTGAATGGAGTACTTACAACTTCTGAAGGCAAGCTGTTCCACCAGTTACTCCTTAATTCAGAATATAACAGAACAGAACAGAATAGAATAGAACAGAACAGAACAGAACAGAATAGAATAGAATAGAATATAGAAAATGGAATGGAATGGAATGGAATGGAATGGAATAGAATAGAATAGAATAGAATAGAATAGAATAGAATAGAATAGAATAGAATAGAATAGAATAGAATATATAAGAAAATAGAATAGAATAGAATAAAAGATATAGAATAGAATAGAATAGGAGAATATAAGAAAATAGAATAAATAGAATATGAAATAGAACAGAACAGAACAGAACAGAGTAGAATAGAACAGAACAGAATAGAATAGAATAGAATAGAACAGAATAGAATAGAATATAGAAAATGGAATGGAATGGAATAGAATAGAATAGAATATAGAATAGAATAGAATAAAAGATATAGAATAGAATAGAATAGAATAGAATAGAATAGAATAGAATAGAATAGAATAGGAGAATATAAGAAAATAGAATAAATAGAATATGAAATAGAACAGAACAGAGTAGAGTAGAATAGAATAGAATAGAATAGAATAGAATAGAATAGAATAGAATATAGAAAATGGAATAGAATATAGAAAATGGAATGGAATAAAATAGAATAGAATAGAATAGAATAGAATAGAATAGAATAGAAAGGGACCTTGGAGATCTTCTAGTCCAGCCCCCTGCTCAAGCAGGAGAACTTATACCATCTCAGACAAGTGACTGTCTAGCCTCTTCTTAAAAACCTCCCGTGATGGAGCACCCACAATTTCTGGTGGCAAGCTGTTCCATTGGCTAACTGTCCTCACTGTCAGGAAGTTTCTCCTTAATTCTGGGTTGCTTCTCTCTTTGGCCAGTTTCCAACCATTGTTTCATTTTTCTTTTTCATCGCAAGCACAAAATCCGGAAGCAATTTCAAAACAGAAGCGAGATTAAATATATTCTCTTCTTTGGATAAAAGAACCGGTTGGACCATCACTGCTTCTCATTGCTGTGGGGAATAATATATACACCTCTAGTGACTCATAATCTTTATCCTAATTCATATTAAGGGAATCCTGTATATAAATTCAATTGTTTTTTACATTAAAAGAAAAAAAATACCTCAACTTCCAACCATTCATTTAGTGAATTCTCAGACCTATCAAAATGGGGTTCCCACTTTCCGCTTCTTCCCATCAACCCTGCGTGGTTTCCTTTTTAAAAATAGATATATATATATATTATTAATTTTTTACAATAACAATCTTCAGTGCTTCATGAACAGTGTGTTGTCTCGATTCATGTATTCAAAACAATCAATGATAATTTCTACAATTCATCAATACGTTGATTTATAATATATTTCTCGATCCATTCTCCTTCCAGTAATATTCTCCTTTTGTCTACATCAGGGGTAGGCAACCTTGGCTCTTTTATGACTCGTGGACTTCAACTCCCAGAATTCCTCAGCCAGCATGAGGGAAACTTTGGCCCCTTTGTGACTTGTGGACTTCAACTCCCAGAATTCCTGAACCAGCGTGGGGGAACTATGGCTCCCTCATGACTTGTGGACTTCAACTCCCAGAATTCCTGAGCCAGCGTGAGGGAAACTTTGGCCCCTTCATGACTTGTGGACTTCTAGAATTCCTGAGCCAGTATAGGGGAAACTTTGGCCCCTTCATGACTTGTGGACTTCAACTCCCAGAATTCCTGAGCCAGCTTGGGGAAAACTTTGACCCCTTCATGATTGGTGGACTTCAACTCCCAGAATTCCTGAGCCAGCATGGCTCAGCCTGGAAACCTCTCCCTTTCCCCTCAGCCTGGCTGGCTCAGGAATTCTGGGAGTTGAAGTCCACCAGTCATAAAAGAGCCAAGGTGGCCTACCCCTGGTCTACATTCAACAAATATAATTCTTAATATTTTCAGTACACACCAAGTTGAATATAAACATTTTTTTCTTGCATTTATGCCTATAATAATAACATCAACATACAACGTGTTTTCTAATCAGCTTGTGTTTCCATTATATTCATGAAAGTCATCTTGTTAAGCCATTATGGATCCTGTTTTCAAGATTCTTATGGAAGGTTAGTTTCTCCTCAGGATGCAGACCATGGTTTCCTTTGAGGACCTTTGAGATAGGAACGTCTCCTTCTTGTTCTTCTCCCAGATTTCCTCGCTGAAAAGCCGGTTGAAGAAGGTCTCCATGACCACAGGGGATGGGGTCGCCAGAGCGTTCCTCAAAGCCCAGGCTTCTTTTTTCGGGAGCTATCGCAACGCGCTGAAGATCGAGCCGGTAAGTATGAAGGATCGATCTCTTGACGCCGAAGAGAAGAAGCAGGTGTGTTTGTGTGGCATGTGTGTGTTTCTCTACAGCTCAGTACAAGGTCAGCGTCGTCCCTGTGGTGACTTGGGTTCCCCGTCATGTAAATAAGGATTACGGACACCATCCATGTTGCCCGTGTCTTCTTCAGCAGATGGCCTGGGGATGAGGTTGCCCATGGCACGTCAGAATCAGGATAGAGCTGGATGGGACCTTGGAGGTCTTCTAGTCCAGCCCCCTGCTCAAGCAGAAGACCCTATACCAGGAGTAGGCAACCTTGGCTCTTTTATGACTCGTGGACAACAACTCCCAGAATTCCTGAGCCAGCCATGCTGAGAGGACAGGGAAAAGTTTCCATGCTGAGCCAGGCTGGCTCAGGAATTCTGGGAGTTGAAGTCCACGAGTGATGAGGGGGCCATAGTTCCCCCATGCTGGCTCAGGAATTCTGGGAGTTGAAGTCCACCAGTCATAAAAGAGCCAAGGTTGCCTACCCCTGCCCTATACCATTGCAGACAGATGGTTGTCCAGTCTCTTCTTAAAAACCTCCACTGATGAAGCACCACGACTTCTGGTGGCAAGCTGTTCCACTGGTTAATTGTCCTCACCGTTAGGAAATTCCCCCTTATTTCTGGGTTGGTTCTCTCCTTGATTAGTTTCCATCCATTGCTTCTCGTCCTGCCTTCTGGTGCTTTGGAGAATAGCTTGACCCCCCCCCCCTTTTTGTGGCAGCCCATCAAATACTGGAACACTGCTATCATGTCCCCCCTAGTCCTTCTTTTCTCTAGACTAGCCAAACCCAAATCCCGCAGCCGTTCTTCGTATGTTTTAGTCTCTAGACCTTGGATCATCTTAGTTGCTCTTCTCTGCCCTTTTCCCAAAGTCTCAACATCTTTTTTACAATAGGGTGACCAAAACTGGATGCAGCGTTCCAGGTGTGGCCTTACTAGGGTTTTATAAAGCGGTGCTAATACCTTGCATGATCTTGATTCTCTGCCTCTGTTTATGCAACCCAGGATTATATTAGCTTTTTTTGGCTGCTGCCGCACGCGGTTGGCTCAGTCAGAGAAATAGTGCTCAGCCACCAGGTCTAGGCGCCATGGAGGTGGAACGGTGAAGATATCAAGAAAGTTTTTTTTTTTGTGCTGCAAGTGTGATTATACACCTTGAGTTTGATTGCCCTTGGATATCAAGATGTTTATTGCATCTGACAATTCTTTATTGTTGCTTGTCGGTTGTTCTTTTGTGTTCTGCTGGTTTGGTTGGTATCGGTGGATTTATGAAATCATTAAAATAATTGGATAATTGAAGGGTTGACCTGAAATGAAATACAGATGGGGTTAGTCTTTGGTTTGTGTCACCATTGAGAAGAGGATGTTCTGCGGTGTTTGGATGTGGGAATGTGAGGTGCATGGCTCTTGAAATCTTTTGGAATGTGGAAAGAAGGAAGGAAGTTGGTCAAGAGTTGGCTCCCTTGCATCAGATGGATGGATAGGCCTCAAGAAGTGGAGATTATATGTTATTCCCCACAGCAGTAAGAAGCAGAGATGGTCCAAGGCAGTGTTTCCCAAACTTGACAATTTTAAGGCATGTGGACTTCAACTCCCAGAATTCCACAGCCAGCAATGCTGGCTGTGGAATTCTGGGAGCTGAAGTCCACATGCCTTAAAATTGTCAAGTTTGGGAAACACTGGTCCAACGGGTTCTTTTACCCAAAGAAGAGAATATATTTAATCTTGCGTCTCTTTTGAAACCGCTTCCGCATTTTGTAGCTTGCGATGAGAAAGGAAAAATAAAATCCTGATTTTGTTTTAGTTAATTACGTAGGTTCATTGTTGCAGAAACGGACGGCATATACTGTTAGGTAAAAGCCAAAAAAGTTGTGACTGCGATGTTGTTATCTTCCATGGTGCTAAAGAGAGTCAAAAGTTGGTGCCTTTTTTTTCCCTTCTTCCTTTTTTACACGGTCTTTTTTGTTTTGTTTTGTTTCCCTCCTCCTTTTTCTACTTTTCCAGATAAAGTTTCCCCCTTTCTCTGCTTTCCTATTATTTATTTATTTATTAAACTTTATAAACCGCCCCACTCCCGCAGGACTCCGGGCGGTTAACAATAAATTACTTTCTTGAATTTCTTTTTGTATTTTATATTTCGACAAACTAATCAAACTCTTATTATAAATAAAAGAAGAAGAGGAGGAGGAGGAGCGCAGGGATTGTGCAAAGAAATTGGGGCCCTGTGCACACATTTGTGTGTTGTTGTTGTTGTTTTTTGAGGTGTGTGTGTGTGTGTGTTGGAAGCTCGTCCTGCCTCTCTCCTGATCCAGCAGGCCTTTGGGTCCCTCTTTCCCAAACCCCAACAAAATCCATCTTTTTCGCTCTGCTGACTGCAAGGCGCGAGAGTGAAGTCAAGTGCCACTCCTTAATCACAACCGTGTGCATTTTGTGGCTTCCTTTTTTTTTTTTTTTTTTTTGTTAACTGTGAAATGCTAAAGGTTAAAAAGATCTTTCAAGCAGCCTTCCCCAGAAACAGTGGCTTTAATTGCTTAATATTGTGGCATTTTAAATATTTATAGCCTTATCACATGCTGGTGGCGGGAGTGGGGGAAGACAGAGGCAGCGGGCAAGGCTAAACTTCCCCCCCCCCTTGTTGAGGAAAGGGCCTGTTGTGCTTGACTCCAGTGCCACCTCGCGGCCAGGAGTGGCCTGTGGTTGTGAGATTCAGCCAAGGCTGGGGTCTTCCTTGCGTGCAGACCCGGGCAATCGTTTGGAAAAGGTGCAGGATCTGCAGTCTTGGAGACGTGGCGTGAAGACGCCTGCAGCTTGCCCCCGTCAGAGGTTGGTCTGACAAACTCAGATCAAGCTTTGGTTTGGAAGCAGACAGGAAGGCGGTGCAGAGAGTGGTGAGGACGGCAGAAAAGAGGATTGGCAGTTCCCTCCTTTCCATCCAGGACACGGCACAGAAGCGTTGCTTGAGCAGCGTCCGCAGGATTGTCTGGGACACCACACACCCTCTTCACAACCTGTTTTCCTTGTTCCCTTCTGGGAAAAGAGGGGGCTCCGTGGTATCCGAAGCAGAACATCCAGATTCAGTCCCAGCTTCGTTCCATACAGTATCAACCTTGTGAACTCTCAAGCTTCCTCCTTCCATTATGTATTCAAGAGGGACAGTGATTAATATTTATATGTTGCTTAAATGTAAGGGTGTAGGTCACGGGTAGGCAACCCTGGCTCTTTTATGACTCGTGGACTTCAACTCCCAGAATTCCTGAGCCGGCATGGCTCAGCTTGGAAACCTCTCCCTTTCCCCTCAGCATGGCTGGCTAAGGAATTCTGGGAGTTGAAGTCCACCAGTCATAAAAGAGCCAAGGTTACCTACCCCGGATGTAGGTCTATATATATGTTATATATAGTATGTTTTAAATGTGTGTTATGTATGTGTACAGTGAGAGCAAGCAACTAGATTTCATTTTTAATGGGTGCCGCTGTGCCCACAGGGGAAAAAAGTGACAATAAAGGTTATCTAATCTAATCTAATGATCCTGGCTTGTGCAGTAACCCTAGCAATTCCTCACCTCCTGTATTTAAGTTTTAGCCGTGATTATACCTTGTTCGTTGATGTCTTCTCTTGGGAAAGATCGTTCCTTCATCCCTCTTTCCACCCCTGGAAACCATCTCCAACCAAGGTTGAGGTCTTTGGTCTTCTTCTGCCTAACCAGCTTTTATGTCTTTACTGTCATTTCTTACCCTGGTCTTCTCGTCCTCTTGAGACCCGCTGCCAATAATGCTTGATTCAGAAGGACATAACCTTGGTTTGTGGGCTGTTTGGTCTGTTTTGTAGGCTCTGGGTGGCTGTTTCCAGGGCTACACGCGAGAGGGGGAACCGACGGGGATCGCCAACTTTAAGACTGTGGCGTGCCAGATTTTCTGAAGGACGTGGTGCTTCTCAAAAAGCGGGTTGTCGTGTCCTTTCTCTATCTAACATGGTTTTTGCAATGCTTCGTTTCCCCCGGCGAGATCTTGCTACCTCAGAAGTCCATCATCCTGTAACGGATTAGCTTGATTTATCGCAAGAGGCGACTTGCAAAGCTGTGGTAGATGCTCAAGGGCTTGGCTGTTGTTTAACAACACAACCATGTTCGAGCTTTTATCCCCGGGGCTAATTTGACTTTAAAATGACGGTTATAATTCTCTAATCCTCCCGATTTTATACCTCTCTCTCCACAGGATCCCACTTTTGCTGTTAGAGTCAGTGAATTTCAGCATCTGTGCCATTTTTATGGCGTGTGTCGGATGCGCACAGCTCCCAGGAAGGCACTTTCTGCTGGGAGGACAGCCGGTGTAGTTCTCCTCATAAGGGCCAACAGATTCCTTTCCATGTGCTTTTAGTTTCATTTCTGTAATTATTATAGAGCAGTGGTTCTCAACCTATGGGTCGGGACCCCATTTGGGGTCGAACGACCATTTCACGGGGGTCGCCAAACAAGGCTGTCCGCCATTTTTTCCCCCTTTTCTTTGGCCACGCCCCTGGCACGGATTAAGCTTGATTTATCGCAAGAGGCGACTTGCAAAGCTGTGGTAGATGCTCAAGGGCTTGGCTGTTGTTTAACAACACAACCATGTTCGAGCTTTTATCCCCGGGGCTAATTTGACTTTAAAATGACGGTTATAATTCTCTAATCCTCCCGATTTTATACCTCTCTCTCCACAGGATCCCACTTTTGCTGTTAGAGTCAGTGAATTTCAGCATCTGTGCCATTTTTATGGCGTGTGTCGGATGCGCACAGCTCCCAGGAAGGCACTTTCTGCTGGGAGGACAGCCGGTGTAGTTCTCCTCATAAGGGCCAACAGATTCCTTTCCATGTGCTTTTAGTTTCATTTCTGTAATTATTATAGAGCAGTGGTTCTCAACCTGTGGGTCGGGACCCCATTTGGGGTCGAACGACCATTTCACGGGGGTCGCCAAACAAGGCTGTCCGC